CACAGTGGGATCAAAAACAACAATAATACATATATATATATATATATATATATATGAACTATTCCTTTAACTTGGAATAATAAAGAGCATTTAATTTTTCATACATTTCATAAATATACATTTTAATATTCATTTAATTTACCCACCCTCATCTCATTCCAAACCTTTATGACTAAGAAATGTACTGGCCAATCTTTTTAAATCACAGGCAAAAAAAAAAAAAAAAAAAACACATTTGTGAACAAATTATTGAATTAAATTTTTTCAATGAATCATTTGTTCTGATTCACCAGTCTGCTTCTCGAGTTCAATTTTCAGACTCAGAGTGATTCTTGTAACAGATCGGCCAGGCTCCGCCACCACCCAATCACAACGATCCCTCTCACCTGAGTTCTGAGCACCAGCACCTGTCACTAATCATGCACCTCATTAACCAGCCTGCATAAAAGCACACACCTCAGACACCCTCATTGTCCGGTCTCGTATACACGTAGAGGACTCAATGACTTTGCTACTACTTCCATGTGAATACTTCCTACCTTACTTACCTCCAGTGTTCCTCCTAGTGTCTCCTCGTCTCCAAGTGTCTCCTGCTCCTCCTAGTTCCCGGATCGCTGAGGTGTGTGCTCCTCCTGACCGCACCTGTAAAGCCAGTAAAGCCAAAGACTCGGATTACCCCACGCATCATATCCTTTGAACTATTCTACAAACGACATCCCATCCATCCCATCCTCTGGATCCATACACCCGTACTCTCTGTGGCCAAATAAACCTGTTTTATAAATACTAACCTGTTGCATCAGACCTCTTCCGTTACAGAAGACCGGACCAACACCGACGGCACAGATGAGTCACCCCGATCCATTCCAGGAGCTCGTAGACTCACTACGACGAGTGCTACGCAATCCATCGGCACCGCCGCCATCACCACCCATCACCTCCTCCATCACAACCAGCACTTCTTCGCCTACCATCATCGCTAGTCCCATGGCCCGACCGGCGCCCTACTCTGGTTCGGCGGAGGAGTGCATGCTTAAAGATGTATTATTTAGATTTTCTTCCAGTATTTCAAAGGGAATGAGCTGTGTTCTGACCTGAAGCACAAGAAAAGCTCAAATGTTGGGGTTGAAGACAGAGAAAGCAATGAAACAACTTAATTTCATTTAATGTACATTCAAATAACAAAACATGTATATGTCACAGTTATACTACATTAACATTAGAATTGTAAACCGAAAAAATCAATCAAATCAACAAGTGTGTTTTCACAATTTCTTACAAAAATTAATAATTTTCCAAACCTAACTAAATAACTGAAGGCAGAGTTATTTTTAACTCCCTGTAGATCACAAACCTCTGAAATCGGTTGATAAATGTAAACGTTATCGTGTTTTTATCCAGAAAAAAACGCAGCTCCCCCGTTTACCTCCAATTGTTTTTAAAGCAATCTTGCCCGGATAAACATGGCGGACGTGTTGACGTATCGCAACAACGGCTCAAAGCAGCCAATGAGATGTCTAGGTATTTATTATGTCTATGCCTAAACCAGCCAAGGTGCCAGCACAAAAACACATTCAGCGAAATATTGTTTAATTAGCGGTATTGACCAAAATTCCTCCGTTTCAGGCCCCAGAAGGAAGAAAAAAGCTTATTAAATAATAGTTTGTTTAATACGGCTAATTTTTCATTAAATTAAAAACCTTTTTGCTCCCCCGTTTACCTCCATTTATTTTTAAGGCAGTCTTGCCTTCACAAACATGGCGGACGCGTTGACATATCGCAGCAACGGCTCAAAGTGGCCAATGAGTCGTCTAGCTATATATTATGTCTATGCATTGAACACTCTGTTCTGATGACGCAAGAGTTGCAACTATGGCATAGCACACAATAGAAGACATTGCAATTACTAAATGATATTTAGACAGACTTAAAGAAGTTCCAGATCTATACTTGTGCTCTTATTATTTTAGTTATTTTGCCTTTAATGTAAATAAACATGTGCAAACCATATATTTGCTCTTGTGAATTTATTTTGATGCTAATTACATTGTGCGAGCTGTCTCTTTAATACCGCGTGGTTTACATACATGCTGCTGCGGATTGGGCTGACATGTTTGACACAGCCACCAAACAAGAGAAAATGCATCTCAAACCCCGTTGCACACCGTTTCCAGGAAACATGTCGTTCAAACCGGAAACCGTAGCAAAACGGTGCACACCGGTTTGAGCTTGAACTTGCCTCAGGTCTTTGTGAATTCGTTCTCTCGATATACAGCGGGATTCAAAATCTAAATTAAACATTGACAAAGTTTTAGGACATACGTTTCATTATTGTCAGACAGTTGGTTTTGAAGTGTTGGTGCTCAGTTTTATTTCCAGTGCATTCACTCTAGCACTTTTCTGAAAAAAAATCCAGGGGACTATATTATTGATGTTCTTTATGATGCTTTATTGTGATTTTAATTCAGTTCATTGGAAGGAAATGTACACCATTATCTCATGCATTACCAAAGAGTGTAACAAATAAAAGAAAAAATGCCCAGGATCCCCTTTGAGAGATAGCAAAATAGACTAGAGTTAACCATACCCCTGGATCAAACCACACAGAATATACATATACAGAAAATAAATGGTGCAATACTTGCCAAAATAACTTTAGCCATTAATGCATTGTAACAATCAGCTTAAATGATCGCTATAACCATTTTTGGATATATATTTTGAAATGTAGTGTGTCAGATTATTGAGTCATGTTCAAATTAGCAGTCAAGCAGGATCTTTTATTCAATGGTATTCTGATCTTTACACGTCATTGGAGTGCATGTGCAGCTGTTTATGTATGTGTAGTTATGACGGATATCGCTGCTGTTGGCACACTTCAGTGTCACCGTTTTATTGGTGACATTCGCCGCCTTGCAGCAGGAACAGCTGTGCATCAAATCGTTCGCGTAGATCGAATACCTGTGCAAGTTTCCAAGAAAACAGCAGTCAGATGAGTGTAGTATAGCTGGATGAGCTTAAATCAGTTTATCCTAATATACAGTGTCCCCACAAATGGAGATTTTCCCATAGCTTTTAACAGTTTGTTGAATTGTTGAACTGATGCAGAAAATGCCAGTATCGGAGCCGATACCGATCCTGAGTATCGGATCGATTCATCCCTAGCTTAGACTTCAAATATGCAGTTTGTTAATAAAGATAACATCTATTTGAAAATTTGCTTCGACGTTTTCGGAGATATGAGCTCCAGTGCGTCAGTGGCCATTCAGCGCTCATGAACCCGCCGAGAGCAGCCTCACCTCGGCCAGATCTTCTGGAATTTGCCGCTGGCTCTGATGTCTCTATAGTGGTTAAATATGAGATACAATTCGCCCGCCGAGAGCAGCCTCACCTCGGCCAGATCTTCTGGAATTTGCCGCTGGCTCTGATGTCTCTATAGTGGTTAAATATGAGATACAATTCGTTTTGGGTAAATCTAACGGGCAGTCTTTGGTCTCATTAATCTATTATTTGTTCCAGAGCAAATAGTTTTGGAGAGCAAAAAGTCATCACGTTATATTTTATACAACTTCAATGCTGTATATCAGAGTGCTGCCTTTGTACTTTTGACTGAATTGTTTAGCAACTTTTATGATGTTTATTATTCAATAAATTATATTTTATATACATAGTATTATTTAGTAAATTGTGTGTGTTCCTGATGGTGATTTTAGTGACATTGTTCCGCCATTAGATGGCGACAAGAGACTGTCTGTTTTACAAGTCAGCGGTAAAGACTTTTATATCGAAAGAGACTGAAGCGGAAGTTATTTTTACTTTTAATAACAGCTTGTAAGACGCAGTTAACAAATGCACTGAGCAGCGCTGTCATCTGAAATCACCCTTAATAGATGAAAGGAGAGTACGACAAAGATATCGCTTTCCTCAGCGGACTTTCAAACTAATGTTTTATTGTGAAGATGATTGAGCTGAAGAATGAATGTTGTATCAGCTGCAGGTAATCACACTCGCTCAGTTAATCTCTCTCTCATAATACTCTACATAATACACGGCTTTTAATACAGTAATACAATAAGCTTTCAATGAAGCAACTCAACGTTCCTTCGTTACTAGTTCTAAAGTGACGGTTTCGAATTAGTAACGGAGGCTTGAGCTCATCTGTTGAACTGTCAAACTGAGATTTGAATCTTTGGCGGAAGGAAGTAGGGGAACCCACAAAAGAGGGTTTTTAAAGACACTCCGTTGTTGTTTTTCTTATGTATTTACACATTCGTGCCGTCGAACTGTAGTATAAATGCAATATCACACGAGGAGACGTGAGACAGCCATATCTCACATCTACTAGTGTGATATTGCTCATAAATCTTTAAGTTATGGGAAATATAATTTTATCAATAACTACAAATCAACATTTGGTCCCAAACTAGCTAATCACTACTGAGCACCAGCTAAAATTATTCTTAATTTTACAACAGTGTTATTCATTTGGGCATACTATAGATGTTTTTCTTCACATTTCCCTCATTTTAACATTTTAAATGTTATAATATTGATAATTATTTAATGTTTATTGCTAAGTCTTCAGAAAGAAAGTCTTACGAAATATAATATGAATCATGTTAGTAGTTACTCACATCGATTTACTGTCACAGTGGCCAGTGCAGGATGTAACTTCTACATCCTCGATGGAAGTGCAACCATTGACATGCAGACGGGTGTTGCTCTTCTCAAGAACACAGTTGCTGGTGATGTTCATCACACCAACACAGTTTATGGTTTCACCTGAGATATAATAGAGGTATGTAAGCCTGTGACTTTTATGAACAATGCTGCATTTTACTGCATGCACTGCATTTTATATGGTGCAAAACATGTTATTTTTAATTTGCTTAACGTGTTAAATGATCTGCACAAGGCAGACAAACCATTTTAACATTAAAACAAATAGTTTGTCAGTATGTTCAGTGTAAAGAATATCTTACAGATCTGGCAACATCCATCAGTGTCAAATGTTAATGTTTCCTGTAAAGACAGAAATAATAGAACAGAAAACATTAATTAGATATGGTCAAATCTCCAGTTTTCCAAAACATATTGCACATTTTCATACAAAAAAGTACATATTTAATGTTCTTGAAACAGTACACAAAATTTTCCAATCCAAAGTTCAAACAGTTAACATGGCCATTTATAGTATTAAAAGAATATTCACCCCATTGTGTCATCAGTTACTCAACATGTATTACTTTCTTTCTAGTATGAAACACAGAAGCTGTTATTTATAGCAGAATTTCCAAGCTGGTCTTTTTGTACAATGAAAGTGAATGTTGACCATGGCTATCAAACAAGGTTTTTGGGAATAACAACTTAAATTTTGGTCTGTTCCTCCCATACTGTAAAGAAGACTTGGAATAAAGCACACGACTTTTATTGGTTACTTTTTATTTATTTATTTATGTATTTTTATTAAATCTGACAGCCCCTGACCCCCCATCCCCTTTCACTGTTTGGAACAACATGAGGGTGAGTAATTGATGACAGAAATGTTCCCCCTCTTTGATATATTAAACAAATCCAACTGCAACTCTTGTTTTGTTAAATAAGGAGTGTGTTTCTTTGACTGTGTTAATTGTTTAGAGAGCATTGACTTTAGTCTGGAGAAATGTGAAAAAAAAGTTAAGAAAAACTGTAATACATCAAAACCAAACATCCAAACTTAAGCAGTAGCACAAAGCAACAGTAATACAGAATACAAACTTACAGGCTTACAATCCTTTGGATTAAAGTCGGGGCATTTTTTTATGCTCTCCACAATCACAAGTGAGTTATTAACTTCATTGCAGGTACCAGTTGTACATTTAAACTTGTACGCCTCGTGAGCCTAAACAGAAAGGCAGAGAGGCTATATGAGAATTGAAGAACAACTCAGATAATTTATCCGATGAGCTGAAAGAACGAAGAAAACATTGAGAAAATTTGGCGATGTACCTGGAGAGTATGTCTGGTGTTGTCCGGCGCATTATAAATACAACATCTTTGTCTACACATTCCACAGCACTCTCCTTCTTGTTTCACATATTCAAAGCACTTGAAGGGTAAAAAGTTTGTAGTTTAACAATTAATTCCTTTTGACAGACTCATTAAAAAGAACCAGAGCCAGATTCACAAAACATTCAAATCTCCTAAACTCGCATTTTCTTCTTATTTTGTAATTTAAGAATAAAATTAGGAATATTTTGTATTACCAAAAATACTTTTACTTAAGATTGTTCTTAAGACAAAACTTGAAAAGAATTCAAATTCTTGAAGAGAATGTTTTTTAAAAATCATTGCAAATAACTTCTTAAAGATATTAGAAATTGAATCTCTTTTTTTTTCTTAAGAAGACTTTGTGAATCCAGCCCTAGTTCTTAGGAATAATTTGGCCATGAATAGGACATAATAGCTCACACTGTGTTTTCTGTTGTGTGCTAGTGAACAAAGCTATATCACCACTGTAGAATAAATTAAGGAAGCCTGTACTGCATCAGAAAATGACAGGCATACAAAACACATAGAAAACAAGTGTGTCATGTGTGGAGTATAAGCTAATGATTTTACTTACAGGATTACAGTCACGTGAACTTGAGTAAGTGCACTTCTCAGAGCTCTTCTCAGTCACGAGTGAGCCATCAATTTCACGACAGGTAACATTTCCACATTTGTAAATGTGGACTTCTCCAACCTGACAAAAGACAGACAGACTCCATTGTGATGGAAGAACAGAGCAGATTCATTGTCTGATGAACTAAAAGAATGAAGAAAAGTTCATAAATGTTTACAAATGTACCCGCATTCTATATGTGGTGTTGTCTGCCATGTAAGTACAGTTCCTTGGTACACACTTTCCACAGCAGTCTTCTTTTTGTTTCACATATTCAGAGCCCTTGAAGGGTAAAAACACGTTTGCAGTTTAATAATTCATTCCTTTTGACAGACTCATTAAAAAGAACCAGAGCCAGATTTACAATCTTAACTCTTATTCTCTTATTTTCTCTATTTTCTAATTTAAGAATACAATTAGGAATATTTTGTATTCCCAAAAATACTTTTTTTCTTAAGATTGTTCTCAAGACAAAACTTGAGAAGAATTCAAATTCTTGAATAGAATGTTGTTAAAAATCATCATAAATAACTTCTTAAATGTAGAAATTTTGTATCTTTTTTTTTCTTAAGACGACTTTGTGAATCCAGCCTTGGTTCTTAGGAATAATTTGGCCATGAATAGGACATAATGGCTCACACTGTGTTTGCTGTTGTGTGCTAGTGAACAAAGCTACATCACCACTGTAAGTGTATTGCGTCAGAAAATGACAGGCATACAAAACAGATAGAAAACAAGTGTGTCATGTGTGGAGTATAAGCTAGTGATTTTGCTTACAAGTTTACAGTCACGTGAACTTGAGTAAGTGCACATCTCAGAGCTCTTCTCAGTCACGAGTGAGCCATCAATTTCACGACAGGTAACATTTCCACATTTGTAAATGTGGACTTCTCCAACCTGACAAAAGACAGACAGACTCCATAAGGATTGAAGAACAGCAGATCCATTGTCTGATGAACTAAAAGAATAAAGAAAAGTTAACAAATGTTTACAAATGTACCCGCATCATATATGTGGTGTTGTCTGCCATGTAAGTACAGTTCCTTGGTACACACTTTCCACAGCAGTCTTCTTTTTGTTTCACATATTCAGAGCCCTTGGAGTGCAGAAATAAGTTTACAGTTTCAATAATTCAGTGGTACCTTTATACTGCATTCTCAAATCACAGTCTTTTTAAGCTCTACTTTTGAAAATGCTGAGGAAAGAGCAACAGGTGATGTTAATGAGGAGGTGAGCAGAGAAACATGAACAACCACTCAGTAAATAAACTGATGTGTCTCACAAAGGTAAAATATACCTAGTTCATTTCAAATCGGATATAATCAAAAACTCGCAGTTTAGTAAGGAAATCTGTAGTGACCTCAGTTACCGCTCTGAATGATTCATTGGTTGAGTGATTCTGATTCAAACCACTGACTTGCCAGTAGGTTCAAGACTCTTCTGTGAATCCTTTTGATTGACTCATTAAAAATAACTCATTCTTAAGAATCATTTGTACATGAATTAGACATAACAGCTCACGCTGGATGTTTGTTTATGCGTGTAGGCAACATTGGTGTGCACTCTAAAGTAATTTGGTAATCAACTAACCGCACCTCATGAGATGATCTATGATAAAAGCACTTGTGGAAGCACACATGGTTTGTGACTGTTGCCAACGACGAGTAGATTTTAATTTGTTGTTAGAAATCTGGAATTTTTTTCACATTTGCGACCATTTTTGTCACAGTATGGAGCCGCACAGAGAGTATAGCTAAATGTGAGATGTACAGTGACATCAATCCCAATTAAAGTAGTAAGGAGAATCAGGATGAACGTCATTGTTCAGTGAGCCACAATGTCACTAGTAAACAAGAGTGCAACATCACCACTGTAAAATCATCATCATAATACTTCAGAAAGTGACAGCAATACAAAATACACAGAAAACAAGTGTGTATTGTGTGGAGTTTAAGCTAGTGATTATACGTACAAGTTTACAGTGAAATTGACCCGAGTATGTGCACTTCTCAGAGCTCTTCTCAGTCACAAAGGAGCCGTTAATTTGACGGCAAGTAATAGTTTCACATGTGTAACGGCGGACTTCTCCAACCTAACAAAAAGACAGACAGACTCCATTGAAGAACAGAGCAGATTCACCGTTTGATGAAGTGAATAAAATGATAACAAATACAAGAACATGATCAACTTGATACAAAAATGAGAAAACTGATTCGGGCCGAATAGCATAATCTTGTAGCCAATCAGCAGTAAGGGGCATGTCTACTCATGATGTGGAGGAGAGAGTGGTCAGTGCACAAGACGGACATTAGCCGAGCCGAGCAACAGAAAGATAGAGATGGTGGATAAAAAACAAAAGAGGAAAACGTCTGCGGAACAAAAGAAGGCTTAAGGCAAGAAGTAGGACCCGTGTAAATATCGGATCAGCTTTCCAGCGCTGGAGAGAACTCAAGGAGCGGAAGGCCTGCGATCGGACGCCGAGGTTGCTTTGTTTCTTCTCGATAGGAGAGTAACACCGTGTCTGCGCCGCAACAGCTAAAGTCTGTCTAGTACGGGACGCGACAAAGCGACCGTTGAAAATCATTTGAAATTTGTGTCAATACGTCATGAATAGAACGCAGCAGCAGTTTTCTGTCGGGGATTTGTCATGTCGTGCCGCGCCACATCCAGTGTAGACCATAGATATGTATATATATCTATGGTGTAGACAGCATCACTGATTATAATGAGTTCCATAGTATTTTGTCGCGCCGCGCCATTCGCGTCCGGTGTAGACACGGTGTAACATTGGTTTTGCTTTGTTTCACAGAACTAAACGTTGCCTGGGTTGCGTACGTATGTGTGGGGCGGAGCTATCAAAATAGGGGCGAGACCCTTTTGGGGTAGGGGCGTGTTTGTTTTGGTGATTTCAAATGTCTGCATTGGCTACCAGAAATCGCTTACCCCACTTTTAATGCTTTTGCTTAATTTTAGAATCTTTCATCTATAGTTAATTAATACAAAAAAATTAACCTAGCAGCTCACCGTGTACTCAGTATTATTGTACACACAGACATCTTTAGGCACTAAAAAGAAAAAAATAAACAATTTTGGAAATTGCTTATAGAGAAACTTCACCCAAAAATAAAAAGGAGACATGGTGAAGAATGCACTTTTCAATACAACTGTGATGAATGGGTACTGAGGCATTAAAGTTTCGGAAACAATGCAAAAGCACCATGATTGTAACCTTAAAGTGAACTAAACAAGTTATGTGCCATATTCCAAGTCTGATGAAGTCATATGATACCTTTAAAGACATTGTAATTGGTCCAAATTAGTACAACAACAAAACCCCAGCCCACATTCATTTCAACTGCATTGACAAAACTGACCAGTTTCTCCTTTTCACAGTTACATGGGTATGGAATGATATGATGAAAAGTAAATGAGAGAAATATGTTTTTGATGTGAGCTATTATTTTTAGAAGTTGCAGTTTTGTAGAGGAAAAAAGGATTCACTTAATTTCTTTGTAAAAATTGCTTTCTTGGAAAATACAAAAGGTTTTTGACAAACAGCAATAATATTTGAGTAGGAATCAGTAAGACAATTTGATACTTACCACAGGAACAGCAACGGTCTTCAGTTATATTTAATGCTAATTCAAATCCCACATCACATTTCTTCATAAGACATTGCTCAAGATCACAAACTGAATGGATGAAGAATATTTAAATTAATATCTCTGAATGTTTTGTAACATTGTTATGAGTTTATGACTGTTATTAGGTCAAAGTGGAAGAAATATCAGTCCCACTTTATATTAGGTGGCCTTAACTACTATGTACTTGCATTTAAATTAATCTTTTGATACAATGCACTTATTGTGTCCATACATGTTTTTACATTGTACTTATATTTTAAAAATACCTGCATGTAATTACATCTGTAATTAATTACATTTATAATTACACTGTTGACCCATCCCTTATACCTTAACCCACCCTTAAACCTACCCATACCACCAAACCTGTCCCTATACCTTACCCGTATCCCACCTCAATAGCAGCAGAATTGTTTTGGGTTACACTTTATTTTAAGGTGTCCTTGTTAGTGTAATTATGCATATAAGTACTGAGTAATATTAATTAACTGCATGTACTTATTATATGGTTATGGTTAGGATTTGGGTTTGGCATGTAATTATGCATAATTAATTGTTATTATAATAGTAAGTACATGTAACGTGTAACGGACACCTTCAAATAAAGTGTTACCGTGTTTTGCTATACAATATGAACACAATAAGTGCACTACTAATTTTTTTATGTAAGTGATTAAGGCCACCTAATATAAACTGGGACTGAAATATCAAGTGGTTTTACGCTCATTTGATGCCTATGACCACACCAGCAGGTTGAAACTAGATCAGCCATTTAAGTTTAAATGTCCTTTAAGTCCTTGTGTGTTTTGAAGTCCTTATTGTTCTTACCCATGCAATGTTAGCAATTATTATCAACTTGTACTGTATTCATAGTCACAGCTGAGAATATTTTTATCAGCAATATCAATGTACACTTATAAGTCTATCAGACACATTTTTAAATCTTGAATCAAGAGAATCAATTTATATCAGCTTTCTTTGATTCTTGATAAATTCTTGATAACTTACCACAAGTTGGACAGCAGTTTTTAACAGCTCTTTTGTATCCGTCAGCACAGGGGATTTCAGTTAGACACTTTACAGGCTTTTTCAAAGGAATGCCAGAAGTGGTGCAATTATATATGTTACAATCAACTGTCCATGTGTCCCCAGGCTGCAGAAAAGGAAATTAGTTGATGACAGTTAGTTTTTGGTAATTTTAGTTTAAATTGTGAAAATGTGTGATGTCTCTGACTAAAATGAGTTAAGACCCTCTGCTGTTAACAAGAGCCTGCAGCTTTGGTCAAATATAGGGTGGAAAAGAGGGAATTGGGGCCCTAGACAACAATTTCAGCTGAGGGGGTCAGAAGCAATAAACACTACCTGGGCCCTGGAAACTCTAGTGACAGCTAAGATGTTTCTAAGCCCATGTTACTGCTGTATCATTGTTTCTCTGTGCAAGACACACTTTAAATTATAGTGACATACCTTTCTAGGTAAATCATCAGGGCCAATGCAATCTACAAAGAGGGAAGAAAAACAACCAAATCAATAATATGGCATCAAGACGCATTAAATTAGCAAACAGAGAAAGTAAATGAAGAAACACTTCTTACCGCAGTAAGATGTACACATATTTGATGTCATATTAACCCGATATTGGCCATCAGGACAATAACAACCTTCCGTTATCATTTGGTTACAATCAATCCTGTGACATTCTTTCTCTGCATACATATCATTGTACCTAGTTGAAAAAAAGTACAATAGAAGTAGAGATTTGTCAATTAGAATGACTACTGAAATGCAGTACATTTTACAGTTACATTGAGTCATTTAGCAGACGCTTTTATCCAAGGCGACGTACAAATGAGATTTTAGAGCATTCAGTATTATAATTTCACTTATTAAATATGATTATTTTATGAATATGAATATGAACTGATGAGATTTATTACGATGTACTGCAGGATTTTTCCACTTTAGGTCCACATGCCTTGTAGATTTTGTGACTGGGACACTTGAATTCTGAGACAGAAAACGATGACAAGATGGCACTTTCAGATACAGTATATAATATCATGATTTAACAGTAAATATACAAATGTATACACACATTACACATGTCAATGTTACTACAATCGTGTGTGCTTTTGTGAGTGTACCACATAGCCCTTTGAGGACAGGTGAGCTTCTCCAGTCCACACAGATAGACTTTTGACCACATAGCTGTGCATAGGCCTCCACACTAGCACAGGCAACAGACTCATTTCCCATTCTTGATACATCATATACACATGCCTTATAATGGTCCTGATAGGGAACGACATTATGGCAACTTGTAAACAAACTGTAAACAAAATACAAAACTGTGAGCCCCCCAAAAATTCAATTTCACTGATTTTTGTAGAGAATGACTAAACAAAAACATGTGAATTGTATTTAACATCATGATGTAATTCTTTTAAGTATCACTCTCAAACTCTGTTTGTCTTTTGCCTTACTTGCTCTTGATGATTTCACAGACAGTAATGTTTGGAGGGCTAGATGGAGAAGGAGGTACATGAGGAGGTGGAGAAAATTCACATCCTGGGGGGACCATCCAAAATTGTGCCATGTGCTCACATGAATTGTCGATTGTTCCATTAGGAAGTCTGCAGTCATTTCTGGTGTTGTTGTCACAATACCCTACAAATTATCGACAGAATCAAACAGAAGCAAAACCCAAACTGTATATTTTCTGCATATTACAGCTGCAATAAACCAGGATGGAAAAGCAATAACCAATATATATTCAGGTGGAGATGCCAGATATAGTTACTACTTCAAAAGTAAGTAACAAACACAGTAAGCAACAAAAAATATTTTGTTGTTCTCACTGAAGGTGGTCTTCTAATTAAAATGAGTTCTATCAACAGTATGCTCCATACGAGACATTGTCATACTGTACATAAACTACAAATTACTTTTCTTTCATTATGTAAAACAGCTCTATTAATCACAATTGCATTTACTGCAGAAAGAGATCTGTACTTACCACACTGTCCTTGTGTATTATCATGAAAGTAGGAGAATGGGAGTCTGATTTTGACATCTAAATCTCCGACTGTAATCTCAGTTTTGATATCAGAGATATTCAGAGTCACTGTCATGCCAGTAGTAGAGATGATGATGTTATCGATTACATATGTTGGCTTTTTCTCTTCATCATTAACATAGACCTAAGGGAAATATTTATGATAAAAAATTTAATACTATGTATTACATGAACATGCTGAATTTTTTGTTTTTGTTTTAGGGATTTTAGGGAGGTTTTCAAATAGATGTCTACATTCCCTCAGTAACCGCGGGACCTGATTGGATTTCTTGCAGTACAGGATTAAATTTACACTGATTAAATGCACACTGTCACACTGTCAGCATGGGGGATCTAAATTAGGGTAGAACGGTTGGAAAGAAAACATTTTAAGCAGAGAGCATTTGTACACTAAGTAAAATTCAGCGCGAGTAAGGTACTAGTCCTGTGCAGACCTACTTTTAAATGCTAGAATGTTTTTCAAGAGTGTGAGTTTTGGTAAACAAATTTGTCTGAATAAACTTACATGGATCACTTCATTATTGCTGGTCAGCTTGATTTTGTAGGATTTGTAATACACAGTCACATACTCAGGGCAAGCAAGAAGGTCTGTAACATCACAATAGTAGTTTTTAACATGGACACTGATATTGTATCTTGGGATGATTTCTTGGAACAAAACATAAGTGCAGTTTCCTTGGAAAGCATAGTATTGTCCATCAAAGGTTCTGTAATGAGGGTCACCCCAGGTCATGCACAAACCTGTTGGCTCCGAAAACAAGTTAAACAATAGTTAAATATAATGCATTGCCAAAACAACATTATTTTTGATAGCATATTAAAAGATAAATTTGAACAAAATGTCAAAAAACAAAACAAAAAACAATATGATTTAAACTCACATTCACACTCATACTTATAGCAGCAGCCATTGTTATAATACACCTTCACAGGATCAAACCCGTTGTCACATTTATGGTTTGTAGTTATTGGTTCACAATATACAGGTTCCGGGGTGAGTTTTCCATTTTTGCATGTTAACACAGTGCATGCGTCTGTCTGTTATAGGAAAATAGAAGTTCAAAGGAGTTCAATAAAACTGAGTAATAAAGGTTAATAAAACAGTCATAATTCATTTCAGGGCTTTTTACAGTACAGTAGTACAGTAATAAAAAGTAACTATTATTTTTAAATTATTATTTATACACTGAAATAATAAACACAAATAGTATTTGATGATTGTTTTTAGCTTCTCTTATTACCGTGTGATTGTCAGATCGAATCTTTTTTACAATATAACAAGAGGAGTTGCAATAAGCAGTATAGCACTCATCCTGTAGAGGGCTGATTGTTGAACCTATAATTACAATCAAAGATTTAAAGAAAAACAGTTTAAAGTTCAAAACCATGTCCACCAAATCATGTCTATTTCAAACTAACTGTAAATCAATCTAAAAAGCAAATTTACATGCACTAAACAGACACAATAATAATAATAATAATTTTTATTATTATCAAGGCAGTACTCACCCACTGGGTAGTTTACATTTTCATATATGCAGAAACATTTGGTAGACATAGATGTTTCTGTTGTTGTAGATGGTGGTGTTATAGTTGTGCTAACTGTTGTAGGAGTTGTGGTTGACACTGTAGTTGTTGTAGAGATAGCAGTAGATGTTCCTGTTGTTGTAGATGGTGGTGTTACAGTAGTCGTGGTAGTTGTTGTAGGAGTTGTGGTTGACAGTGTAGTTGTTGTAGAGCTAGCAGTAGATGTTCCTGTTGTTGTAGATGGTGGTGTTACAGTAGTCGTGGTAGTTGTTGTAGGAGTTGTGGTTGACAGTGTAGTTGTTGTAGAGCTAGCAGTAGATGTTCCTGTTGTTGTAGATGGTGGTGTTACAGTTGTCGTGGTAGTTGTTGTAGGAGTTGTGATTGATACTGTAGTTGTTGTAAAGCTAGCAGTAGATGTTCCTGTTGTTGTAGATGGTGGTGTTACAGTAGTCGTGGTAGTTGTTGTAGGAGTTGTGGTTGACACTGTAGTAGTTGTAGCACTAGCAGTAGATGTTCCTGTTGTTGTAGATGGTGGTGTTACAGTAGTAGTGGTAGTAGTTGTAGGAGTTGTGGTTGACACTGTAGTAGTTGCAGAGCTAGCAGTAGATGTTCCTGTTGTTGTAGATGGTGGTGATACAGTAGTCGTGGTAGTTGTTGTAGGAGTTGTGGTTGACAGTGTAGTTGTTGTAGAGCTAGCAGTAGATGTTCCTATTGTTGTAGATGCTGGTGTTACAGTAGTCGTGGTTGTTGTTGTAGGTGTTGTGGTTGACACTTTAGTTGTTGTAGTGCTAGCAGTAGATGTTTCTGTTGTTGTAGATGGTGGTGTTACAGTAGTCGTGGTAGTTGTTGTAGGAGTTGTGGTTGACAGTGTAGTTGTTGTAGAGCTAGCAGTAGATGTTCCTGTTGTTGTAGATGGTGGTGTTACAGTAGTCGTGGTAGTTGTTGTAGGAGTTGTGGTTGACAGTGTAGTTGTTGTAGAGCTAGCAGTAGATGTTCCTGTTGTTGTAGATGGTGGTGTTACAGTAGTCGTGGTAGTTGTTGTAGGAGTTGTGGTTGACAGTGTAGTTGTTGTAGAGCTAGCAGTAGATGTTCCTGTTGTTGTAGATGGTGGTGTTACAGTAGTAGTGGTAGTTGTTGAAGGAGTCGTGGTTGACACTGTAGTAGTTGTAGAGCTAACAGTAGATGTTCCTGTTGTTGTAGATGGTGGTGTTACAGTAGTCGTGGTAGTTGTTGTTGGAGTTGTGGTTGACAGTGTAGTTGCTGTAGAGCTAGCAGTAGATTTTCCTGTTGTGGTAGATGGTGGTGTTACAGTAGTAGTGGTAGTAGGTATTGTGGTTGACACTGTAGTAGTTGTAGAGCTAGCAGTAGATGTTCCTGTTGTTGTAGATGGTGGTGTTACAGTAGTAGTGGTAGTAGGTATTGTAGGAGTTGTGGTTGACACTGTAGTTGTTGTAGAGCTAGCAGTAGATGTTCCTGTTGTTGTAGATGGTGGTGTTACAGTAGTAGTGGTAGTAGGTATTGTAGGAGTTGTGGTTGACACTGTAGTTGTTGTAGAGCTAGCAGTAGATGTTCCTGTTGTTGTAGATGGTGGTGTTACAGTAGTAGTGGTAGTAGGTATTGTAGGAGTTGTGGTTGACACTGTAGTTGTTGTAGAGCTAGCAGTAGATGTTCCTGTTGTTGTAGATGGTGGTGTTACAGTAGTAGTGGTAGTAGGTATTGTAGGAGTTGTGGTTGACACTGTAGTTGTTGTAGAGCTAGCAGTAGATGTTCCTGTTGTTGTAGATGGTGGTGTTACAGTAGTAGTGGTAGTAGGTATTGTAGGAGTTGTGGTTGACACTGTAGTTGTTGTAGAGCTAGCAGTAGATGTTCCTGTTGTTGTAGATGGTGGTGTTACAGTAGTAGTGGTAGTAGGTATTGTAGGAGTTGTGGTTGACACTGTAGTTGTTGTAGAGCTAGCAGTAGATGTTCCTGTTGTTGTAGATGGTGGTGTTACAGTAGTCGTAGTAGTTGTTGTAGGAGTTGTGGTTGACACTGTAGTCGTTGTAAAGCTAACAGTAGATGTTTCTGTTGTTGTAGATGGCGGTGTTGCAGTTGTAGTGGTAGTTGTTGTAGGAGTTGTGGTTGACACTCTAGTTGTTGTAAAGCTAGCAGTAGATGTTTCTGTTGTTGTAGATGGTGGTGTTACAGTAGTCGTGGTAGTTGTTGTAGGAGTCGTGGTTGACACTGTAGCAGTTGTAGAGCTAGCAGTAGATGTTCTTGTTGTTGTAGATGGTGGTGTTACAGTTGTCGTGGTAGTTGTTGTAGGAGTTGTGGTTGACACTGTAGTTGTTATAGAGCTAGCAGTAGATGTTTCTGTTGTTGTAGATGGTGGTGTTACAGTAGTCGTGGTAGTTGTTGTAGGAGTCGTGGTTGACACTGTAGCAGTTGTAGAGCTAGCAGTAGATGTTTCTGTTGTTGTAGATGGTGGTGTTACAGTTGTCGTGGAAGTTGTTGTAGGAGTTGTGTTTGACACTGTAGTAGTTGTAGAGCTAGCAGTAGATGTTCCTGTTGTAGATGGTGATGTTACAGTAGTAGTGGTAGTAGTTGTAGGAGTTGTGGTTGACACTGTAGTAGTTGTAGAGCTAGCAGTAGATGTCCCTGTTGTAGATGGTGGTGTTACAGTACTAGTGGTAGTAGGTATTGTAGGAGTTGTGGTTGACACTGTAGTTCTTTTAGAGCTAGCCGTAGATGTTCCTGTTGTTGTAGATGGTGGTGTTACAGTAGTAGTGGTAGGAGTGGTGGTTGACACTGTAGTAATTGTAGAGCTAGCTGTAGATGTCCCTGTTGTTGTAGATGGTGGTGTTACAGTAGTAGTGGTAGTAGGTATTGTAGGAGTTGTGGTTGACACTGTAGTTCTTGTAGAGCTAGCCGTAGATGTTCCTGTTGTTGTAGATGGTGGTGTTACAGTAGTAGTGGTAGTAGGTATTGTAGGAGTTGTGGTTGACACTGTAGTTCTTGTAGAGCTAGCCGTAGATGTTCCTGTTGTTGTAGATGGTGGTGATACAGTAGTCGTGGTAGTTGTTGTAGGAGTTGTGGTTGAGAGTGTAGTTGTTGTAGAGCTAGCAGTAGATGTTCCTGTTGTTGTAGATGGTGGTGTCATGCATTCAGTTCTGTTTGGTTTCTCACAGGATATTTTTCTTTCAATTTCCTGTCCTTGGCCATCTGTTCTGGCTCGGCTGTTGTCAAACCACTCTGACCATTGACACAACGGTATTTTAGTTTGTGTAGTAGTTGTAGAGGTAGTAGTAGATGTTCCTGTTGTTGTAGATGGTGGTGTTACAGTACTAGTGGAATTAGGAATTGTGGGAGTTTTAGTGTATGTTATTGTGATGCAACATTTTACACGAATTAGATGATTATGGCAAAATTTAAATGAATTTTCTTTGTTTGAACAAAACAGTCCATAAGTTGTATTGCACGACACTACTTGATTATATTTCCAGTTATTGCCTGTAAAGTTTCTTTTATTATAATTTGTCATGCATTCAATTTCTTCTGGTATATCACAAGATATTTTTTTCTCATTCCTCAATTTTCCGATGGATTCAATTTCCACTCCTTTGTCATCTTTGCTGGCTCGGCTGTTGTCAAACCACTCTGACCATTGACACAAAGGTCTTTTAGTTGTTTTAGTAGTTGTAGAGGTAGTAGTAGATGTTCCTTTTGTTGTAGATGGTGATGTTACAGTAGTAGTGCTAGTAGGTATTGTGGGAGTTGTAGTGTTTGTTATTGTTTTGCAACATTCTACACGCATTAGCTGATCATGGCGACACTGTGGTGACACTGTGGTAGCTGTAGAGCTAGCAGTAGATATTTCTGTTGTTGTAGATGGTGGTGTTACAGTAGTAGTGGTACTTGTTGTAGGAGTTGTGGTTGACAGTGTAGTAATAGTAGAGCTAGCAGTAGATGTTCCTGTTGTTGTAGACGGTGGTGTTACAGTAGTCGTGGTAGTTGTTGTAGGAGTTGTGGTTGACAGTGTAGTTGTTGTAGAGCTAGCAGTAGATGTTTCTGTTGTTGTAGATGGTGGTGTTACAGTAGTAGTGGTAGTTGTTGTTGTAGTCGTAGTAGTGTAACATTCTTTAACACAAGTCATGGTTTCATCCAATAGATATGGAGTGTCTGGAGGGCACTGAGGAAAACATCCTGTGCAAATAATTAAGAAAATTATTTTGGTGATGCACAGACAAGGCAAATATATATATATATTAGGGATGGGAAGATTCCCAGATTCGCTTGGCGCATCGGCATAAAAAGTTAACGATGCGATGCATCGGTTTAAAAAGTGTGCATCGGCTACAAGTTGGCACTTATATCGCAATGCATCGTTTCTAACATATTTAATATGTAATAATATTGTATTGTAATAATAGGTAAATTAAATGTAAGCTAGTACAGTACTAATTAATTACTAAGCTCAAATGAGTTAATGTGTGTTTCTTATAGCAGTTAAAATATAGTCATTTTATTTATTATTTATTTTCATTTTTAATTCAGTGATTTTAACTTTTAATTTAGTTATTTTAATGCTTTAAAGAACAATTTTAGATTGTAATGTTCTAGTGTTCTGCTATCTGTTCTGCAAACTATAAAAGGTACAGCTGTAATAAAACCAGAGAGAAAGGCTGCATGGCTAGAAACTGTAAAAAAAAGTCAAACATCGGTAGCTGCTTCATATGTATCTTTAATGTATCGTATCGTTGGCTATGCATCGAGATGCGTATCGTATCGGCCTGAGCCATGAGATGCACATCCCTAATATATATATATATATATATATATATATATATATATTTGCCTTGTCTGTGCATCACCAGTGCAAAATGTAGGAAAGAAATACCCGTTTTGATTTAGTATTGTTTTGTATGTAATGTACAAATTATAGAAATGTGATTGGTGTAACTTTTTTCTCATAAAACAAATGTCAACCACTGAATCTTGCACTTAAAGTTAAGGCAAACAGTAAATGTAAGTAAACAGACAAATAGGGTCCTTAAAATATAATTTGATGTTAACAAGTTAGCAACGTCAGCAAATTCATCTTTTTTTAGCCTTCATGAAGTCTGCAAGCTTTGGTACAGTCTATAAAACAGACAGAGTATTAAAAAAAATTACACCAACCTTCAAGTAGAGGAATTTGATCAGAGCAAGTTCCTGAGGGGTTTTTGCAGGTTTTCAGGCAGGGTGGTCCACAGGATTTATAGTGCCACTCACATTTTCCCGGAGGGTTGTAGTAGTCACAGAATAAGGCTGCAAAAACAACCACTTGTGTCAGTACAATGAAAATATTTATAGTAGACATCAAATCAAAGAAGTTTATTTAAAGTGTTAGTTCACCCAATAGAAACCGTAAAAAAAAAAAAAAAGGTCCAATAATATGTGAGAGAGTCAGTGGTAATATCATTGGGTTCCTATTGGTCAGTGTTAAAGGAACTTAGCTTAGCCTGACAGTTATGACCAGGTCAGTTTCCCAGATATTTGGCTGTAGTACTCAATGGCTGCATATAGGCTGAAATCTATATAAACCATTGTTTTAACGAACTTAAACTCTTAAGTTTTAGATTTTATCACAAGTTAAAATTGTAGAATTAAAAAAAAAATGTGTTGGGTGAGACTATACAAATATGCCAAAATATGCTTACAGAATACTGACAAATCGGTTACACTTTATTTTAAGGTGTCCTTGTTACAGTGTAATTATACATTTAAGCACTGAGTAATATTAATTAACTACATGTACTTACTATATGGTTATGGTTAGGATTAGAGTTTGATTTAGGGTTACTTGTATGTAATTATGCATAATTAATTATTATAATAATAAGTACATGTAAAATGTGTAACAAGGACACCTTAAAATAAAGTGTTACCGATAAATCTGACCATGCTATAAGGAAAAGACAAAGTAGAGGACAGAGTAATCATTTATTTCTAACAAAAAAAAAAATCAAATTTCAATTAATCTAAAAAGGTAGAATGGTACCAAATGGTACCAAACAGGAAAGAATAAATGATAAACCTAGCAAGTAGCATGTTTCAGATATGTTTTGTTTGGAATCATCAACAAATCTTGCAGTAGGACATTGATCTGATTTTGAGTGTGTGTGTGTGTGTGTGTGTGTGTGTGTGTGTGTGCGCGCGCGCACAGTGGCTGATTGGCACATTAAAAAATATATATAATGGGATGAAAATGGGAATGTCGGGATGAAGACGACAACTCCCATGATTCCACACGGCGTCATCAAACTACGCCTTTGATTCTTTGTTTGTTTTGAATACGTGCCCTCTAGCAGCAAAAAATTACATATTGTGCCTTTAAGGAAACTATTTGAAAAAAACCCAAAACAAGATTTTGCCCACATTTGTTCTGAAGGATGCTTGAGGGTTAAAGGCAATAGTAAAATATTAACTGACATTTAGGAAATATTAGGACTTACGGCATATGCTTGGGCTCCGCCATGCCACACAAGCTTTTTTTTTACGGCATTCAGCAGCGTAAGCTGCCACTGCAGTACAGAAACAATCACAGTCACCCCCAGTGTCACATGCACAGGTGTCCTTTACACAGGCATCATAGTATAGTCCAGAATCCACCTAGGAGCAAAGAAACAGAACATTTCATAGCTTCTATCATGTTCTTATTCATGTCACATTTTTGCATGATTTTCTTCCTCTTGGTTACTGTTAGTAGATATATCATGTTGAATTAAGTTAATATAAGATATTAAAGGGATAGTTCCCCCGAAACACCCATTCTGTCATCACTCACCCTCATACCAAGCCTGTATGACTATCTTTCTGCTACAGACCACAAGAAGATTTATTGAACAATGTTTCAACTGCTTTTGTACACAAAAAAGAAAGTCTTTGGGGTCCATAGAAACACTGAACCCCACCAATTGTCACTGTATGGATGGGGGAAAAACACAATTTTGTTTTTTTCAAATTATCTTAATATTTTGTATTCCAAAGAAGAACGATTTGCAGATTTGGAATTTGGAATGAGTAAATTATGACAGAACTTTGGGTTAACTATCCCTTCAGTAATAATTAAACTATTTTTTAAAATATATTTATGTATTTATTTATTAACTAAACCAAGGATGGCTGAATATGTCAAAGAATCTCTTATGTACAGACAAAGAGTTTAAAGCAGAGGGTCAAAATTCGGCTTGTTTTTGTTCCAAACTTTTAAAGGTGAAGTTTAATTCCTGTGCCACTGTTGTCACCAAAAAGTATTGTAACAATAACTAGATAGTAAAGTTCGTAGACAAACTTTGAAGTTGGATTGAGAAAGCCAGGCCAGAAAGTTTTAAAAGTTTAAAAGTTTTTAAAAAGTTGTAAAAGTTTGATGGTTTTCAGTTTGAGATAGTTTTCAGTTTAAAATAGTTGAAAGATTAAAGTCTGAATGTTGTTACCATGATTAGCAAGTTACTAGCATGTTGTTAGCATGATTAGCAAGACCAGCCTGACCAGCTCAAAAGGTGCCAAAACCACTTTAAAACCAGCATGGGAGACTAGCCAAAGCATCCCACCAGCTTAGACTGGTTTTAGCTGTTTTTTCAGTAGGGAGTTGTTCAGCTTTGCTATAGCATTAGACAGCTTAAATACACCATAAGTCTCATTGTACAAAAGTTTTCACCTCCTCAATGAAAGTCTATGGGATTTCGGGTGGTTTTGATAGTCTGGTTTACGAAAACTGGAAGTCGGATCAGTTAGAAAAGTGCTAGCAACTAACTTCAGACCAGTCTGAAGGTCTGACCCGAGTTTGGAGTCTAGGAGGAGATGCAGTTCAAATTTTGGCTCAGAAATAGAAGAAGAAGAAGAAGATTAAATAGTAGATCAGTAAGTTGGCTTTCTCAAGCCATCTTAATGATGGACCGTTTTCACATTTCCGGGTTTCTCAGCAGCGGAAGTCGTCATAGTTGGGTTAACTTAAAGAGCGGTGAATGGGAGAGTACCACAAATATATTGTTTGCATTCCCATTTGTTTAAATAGCAAAAGAAAAACTCCACGATAGTGTTTTCCTGACTTTCAATAAAAGGGAAAAAACTGAGAGAGACTGTTAACAGCAGTCAGAAGAGAGAACGATGTCAAATTTACCGTCCCTCCCATAGACGCTGCATTAGAAACACCCGCGCATTAGCGTAAACTAGTCTTTTTGTAATTTGATGCAAAGGTAATATAATACAAAGAATAATGTTATAAATGTACATACATTTTTAAAAAAATACAAATATGAAAAACTTTATGATGCTGATGACCGTTAAACGCGTCATCACAGTCTTGTGAAAAGAGTCCATTGTTTTTAAACCGGTTCTCCAAAAACATACCCTTTCTGCCATTGGTTAGTTGAAAGTATGTGAACTTAAAAAAAATTACACATGTAACTACTGTACAAAATAGTTTATACTGTTACTTACAAGTGCGTGACAAACTTTAAAGACATCACTTGTTATGATGCTGCATCGTTTTTCAGCCCAGACAAGCCGATGTGGACTTTCTTTACAAAAGTCTATCATGTTTGTCAAATCTGGGCAGTCAGGATTCGCCTTCCAGCTATTCCCAAAATCTGCTGGATCCGTCACCACTTCTCCATTGTGCTTCATAAAGTCATTGTTCGCATTACCATCAAAGTTTCCACACAGTCCACACACCTTGCCCTGCCATAGAGGTCATGAATGGATGTTTAGGTGAGTAGATGAACAAAGGGTAAAGTGATTGTGTGTGTTTGTGTCTGAATGGGTGTACCTTTAAAGAATGCATACCTTAAATTTGGGATCAAGTTGGAGCATCAAACTTGTTTTATTGTCCCAGATTAAGTTCAAAAGACCTTTGACCTCTGTGACAATATATATCCCTGCAGTATGAATCTGATATTGGTAATCAGTGTCATTGCCAATAACTTTGACTTCATCCTCGGAAAAATGAATCTCATATCTCTGCAGGATTTGAATGGTAAGTATCAAAACATTCTCCGTAACTCCAATTTATGTAACTGGATATCTCTCTCTTATGACATTATTGCAAGGTCACAGATTTCATCACAAATTATGCATTAGAATTTATTTAAAAATGTCTATCCTCATTACATATATGTATACCTTAGTGATATGCATGTTGCACACTTTTACACATTTTCTAATACTACATTTATGCTTAGTTTGAGCTATGAAATAAATTCACCCCAAATTTGAGACTGATAGACTTGCAGATGGTGCTGGTGGTCTCACAGAATTTGTTCTGTGTGACAATGCTGAAGGAGAGAGTCTGGTCCATATTGCAATTATCCTAGAGGGGTTACAAACAGTAATATGTCAGGCAGTGATAGAAGTTGCCACAGATAGGTAACTTCACTAAACAGTTGCGATAGTTTTGCAAATTGAAATGCATGTTCACCACATTCTTTTTTTTGTTTGTTTTTTTTTACTTTTGCTTAATTTTCTTATACTTTTGCTTCATCTAAATTATTGAATCATTGAGTTGTTGACTCAAGAACAGCTGCAATTATCAGGTAAATTTGCAAATGAATCGTTTAGTGCAATTTGTAAATCAATTCAATAGATTTAATGAAAAGAATCAGCTTTTGTCAGAATGGGTATTGATTTCTTCAGTTCAAAATAATGAGGAAAAATATGTTTTAATTACATGTAGTTAAGTAAAAAGTATGATATTATTCTTTTGAATGCAGTAAAAGTAAGAGTTTAAAATACAAAATAAAACATACAGATACATTACAAATGTATTTAAGTTTAGTAACAAAGAAAAAAATACTTAGTTACAAATGCTGGTTTAAATACAACCCAGTGCTGGGTAAAATAGGGACAAAGCCAGCAATTGGGCTGTTTTGACCCAGCGGTTGGGTTAAATGTTTAACCCAACCTTCTGGGTAGTAACCCAACCGCTGGGTAACCCAACCCCAGCACTGGGTTGTATTTAACCCAGCATTTTTTAGAGTGTGTCCATCACTGAGTGACACAGACATGGACAAACATACACGGGCTATGGTGTGTTCACATTCTCTGTAGAGGGAGTATCTCCTGCCATCAAAAGTCCTAAAATGACCTTCACCATAGATGGTACAGGTACCATAGCATGTCTTTTCAGTACAAGTCCACATCCCATTTTTGCATGTGCTGAAATATAAAACATACAAATTATTACCATACTATTCTCATCAATGTTAAAGGGTCAGGAAACCCTTATTTCAGCATCAGTTAGTTAGAAAAGCGAAGATGGGAGATAACATGGTAATACCTTCTGATTCAGTCATTTATTTTTATCAGTCTTTTATTATCAGTTTTATTTTGATGTTGAGTAAAAAAAAAAAAAACATCAACAGCTCTCATAATGCAAGCTACAAAATGAACAGATATATTATTCATGGTAAGCTCAAAGTATATTACACAAATGTACACAATCTTGTGATAGATATAATTTAATTTACTTTCAAACTGGTCGTGAAGCAGCTGTTACCCTCATAGTAAAAATTAATAATTTGAATGAATATTATGAATATATCCACACAAAACAAATGATGCCCATTACTACTCAAAGTAGTTTTCTAGGGCTAATCAATGTAAATAATTATAAAATAATTATTAATTTTATCATTATTCATAACCACTATTTTACAGTAACTATGTTTAAAGAATAAAATTTTTAGAGGCAAAATACTGGTAATTCTCACCTCACACAGTTAAGACTTGTGCAAACAAGTTCTCGCACAACTGTGGTTGATTTAATTTTCCACTCAAGTCAAGGCTGGGGTGTGCAATATATAACGTCTGTCTAATATCGTAAGTGTTGTTTTAATGATGTGCGATCTGACATTATCGAGTATAGGCTATGACAAAAAAACAAACAAAAACACACCCAGAGAGTGCACGCATACACTGTGTGATTTAGTCTATTAAGATGCATTTAGAATGCCCATAAGATTCAATATGTTCTGCATGTCTTTTATATTTATATCATTTAATATAGTTAATCTATATCACACCATTTTTACAGTGCCGTTTTTCTCCAGATACTAGCATTGATTTTATACAAGTTTAATGAACTTAGTATTGAGTTACTTACATTTTAGATTTCTGTGTTCCACTTTTGCTAGTTTAACGACGGAAAAAAACGGTCGATGCGCCAGGCGCATGGTCCAAAAGGGTTGTACCTATTCTCTTAAAGGGGACCTATTATGCAAAATTCACTTTTGCATGGTGTTTGGACATAAATGTGTGTTGGCAGTGTGTGTACACAACCACCCACACGTCACATTAGCAACAGGCCCCGCCCACGAATGTTGACAGACACTGCCGTTTTAACATAGAACCGCCCTGAGCAAGTTCACAGAGAGTTGTACACAGTCCGCCATTGCTGCACTGACGAGAAAGTCTCCCAAACGTTTTAGGTGTTCTGTAGCTGGATGTATGAATCCACATAGCTCTCTCCTTACTCCCGAAATCTGAGCCACTGAAGACAAGGTGGATTAATTTTGGTTAAAATTGCATATGAAAGCAATGTGAAGTCGACCGCTGGAATTAGTCGAGCTCTTAATCACAAGTGGGGCTTAAAGTTTATATGGCACCATGAGTTATTTTTATCGCGCCGTGCTCCCGTCTGTGTAATTCATAAAGTGCATTTTTTTTATACACAGTACAATCAGATGACTGACTTTTAAACCGAGTGCGATTTCTGTAAAGATAACAGGCTTGTACTTATAGTGGAGTGTTTATTTGCAAAGGCTAGCACCGGTATTGCCGGAGCTTGAGCTCTTGAAGCTCCGCCCTCTTCTCCGGAAGCACCAGCTCATTTGCATTTAAAGGGAAAGAAGAAAATGGTGCGTTTTGGCTCATACCCTAAAAGTGGCAATTTTAACAAGCTATAAAAAATGATCTGTAAGGTATTTTGAGCTAAAACTTCACACACACACACACACACACACTGGGGACATCAGAGACTTATTTCACATCTTGTAAAAAGGGGCATAATAGGTCACCTTTAATGAGTCATGAGTGTGTTTTGGGCGTAGCGTGCAATAAACCAATAAGAGTCTCATCTCCCATTCCCTTTAAAAGCCAGTTGCACTTGCACCATCGCGGATTCGCTATTTACATGGCGGAATTAGCAAGAGCAAAGACAGAACGCTTCTCCAGAGAGACACAGGTTTGTTTACGCATTAAACTCGTGGCCACGAGAAAAATATGTCGCTCCCTCAACATAAGAAGTCGTGGCCACGACATAAAGATGTCGATACCTCGACAAAATTATCTTGTGGCCACGACATAATATCACGTTCCCACGAGTTAATATGACGTTCCCACAAATTAATATCTTGTGGCCACGACATATTAACACGTTCCCACGAGTTATTATGTCGTGGCCACGACAAAACTAAGTGAAGCAACCATGTCAGCTCCCGGGGACCGTAGGAGACGGATCTGTTTGTGTGCGAGGTTAAAGCACACGAGCAGACCATCTACGAGGCACAATAATAATCTTTTACATTGTAATTCTTTCATTTTTAATATTTGGCATGTTTGTATGCTGCTGCGCGTCTCTGTGTGTAATAAGCAGAGTGTACGCGTGGTGTGCACTCGCCTATAGGCGCATATTACTAACGCGCCCTGTAAATAAATAACCTAAATAACCTTAGACCAGGTTTTAGTTGGTCAATGCCGCAATCTTTTTCAGTTGCCTCAAAATAGCAACATGCCAACAAAGTGCCTGAACACACCTCGTTTTTAGACCAGCACGGCCAAGGGTGAACAGATGGCCGCAAGTGCATTTGCTATTTAAACAACGTGGCACTGGACATGAAAATGATAACTGCGTCGGGCTGAAACTAGCAAAAAACACTTGCGACCTGCCTGGCGTCGCATTGCGCCGGGTGTATGATAGGGCCCAAATTGACTCGCTAGTCACTCGATTAACAGTGACTTGCTGCCACCTACTGGTGGTTTTAATTTCACATTTCAAGTATCTTTTCATGTTTTAAATCTTTTCAAATATCAATATTCAACTTTTATGTTTAAAACAAAACATTATTTGTAACTGCTGGTTAGATGCATCCATGTCCCCTCTTAGCTGCATTAAACAGTGTCTGTTCCACTTCAGATGCAGATTACATATTTGCAAAAACTGTTTTCTTATGTTGGAATGAAAGAGTCTTCGTTCCAGATGAAGTGTCTCTTATGCTAACCCAAAGATACAAAATGGAAGAAAGAGTTAAAACTGAACATAATTTTTCTGCTTAAACTGTGTATAGAACAATTTTTTATATTTATTTGCTCCTTTTATATTTTTAATTTACTTGTTCTTTTACTTTCAATACTTAAGTAAGTTTAATATTTAAAAAAATACTTTTCATACTTAAGTACAATAAATACCACATACTTGAAAACTTTTACTCAAGTAATATTCTAAACGATGACTTTAACTTATGCCAAGGTCATTTTCTGGTAAGATATCTATACTTTTACTTAAGTGTGGCTTTCAAGTAATTTATCCACCACTGCTAATAACAGACAGGTCTGACTCAGGTGCAAAACCAATCAAAACGTCCAGTTCAGCAAACTAAATGTACAAAGCAAACTTCGTACCAAGTTGAAATCAACATTAACAACAACATTAAAATAAGAGCTCATGCATTTTTACATGCATCTGACTGACAGATAAACCATGATTTATTTGTCAATCAGATGCACGTAAAAGTGTTACTATAGCAACGGTGGACTCCAGGCACATTTTCGGTAGAACGAAAAAAGAGCATATTATGTAACATGTTAACCCATAGTTAGGCTTGGGAATCAAAAATCGATTCCAATTCTGGAGTAAGTAAATTTTTAAGTAAATTATTCCTTCCCCTGGTTTCACAGACAAGGCTTAAGCTTAGTCCCAGACTAAAATGCATGTCTGGGCTGTTCTAACTGAAAGAAACTTGCACTGACATATCTTAAAATATGTCAGTGCCATTGTTTTGTCTCAAGATGCACACCAGTAATGTTATTTTCTAAGGCACATTTATAAAAGATACTTAAATGTCCTAATTGAACTATGGCCTAATCCTGGCTTAAACTAAAGCCTGGCTCACACTGTGCGATTTTGACCACGATTTGGTCGTCTGAGACAAATTTTGAAAATCCTAAAAGATTCCTATAATCCTAGGCTAAAATCTGGAGTCTTTGGTCGTTAGTTTGACATGTTCACCGACAGCCGTTTAATGACCGTTGCAATCAAATTTGACCTCCGACGGAGTTCTGGCAGTGTCAGAAGATTTGGCGCACAGTCCTGCAGTGTGACTTCTCCTACAACGAACGTCAAATTGTCTTCGTTTTTCAAGACAAGCCATGATCAAAATTAACAATAGTATAACAATAGTTTTAGTTGTTATGGTGCGTGTCCACCGGAGTGGAGCAGTGGACACTCTGAAGCTCAACTTTCATAGGAATGAACTGAAAACACTCGCTCTGCTCACCTTCACCGAACGTGTCATGGGTTGATTTTTCTTGCACGGGTCCGTTTTTAAAGCGTCTTGACTGTCGTACAGTCTGACATTAATGACAGCTGAGATCCTACATTGTGACATGAGGATCATATTCGTACAGTCTGACAAGCAACAATCGTAAAGAACTGTTATAAATCGCACAGTGTGCGCCCGGCTTAAGCCCTGTCTGTGAAACCAGGCCATAAAGTAGCAATACTTTTTTTCAAGATGTAATATTGGTGTTGGGTGTCCCAAAAATGTGTCTGTGAAGTTTACCCCACAGATCATTTATTATAACATGTTGAACATGTCATTTTTGGGGCATGTCTAAAAAAAAGAGATGTTTTGGTGTGTATCACTTTAAATACAAATGAGCTGAATATTCCCACCCCGTCTTCAGAAGAGGGCGTGGCGTATACATCTCTGCTTTGCATACCTACAGCAATAAACAGCTAGTAGAAGCAACATGACTGAGAGCGAGAGAACCGGTGTTCAGCCGTACATGTATGAACTGGAGTCAGACACAGATGAATGAACCAGGACGTCTCGGAATGGTTATTTGATACATTTATGTACTTGTAGAGATTTCACATCCCATTTGCAAGAACAGATGAGCAACACACAAATATTTCGGTAACGTTCGATATGCGCTTTAACGAAACAACACACGCACACAATGAATAGAAACAAGGTTAAAAGTAGACGACAGACATTTGGTCTCTAATACAACAATAGCTTTAGCCGCAATTGTTGTGGAACTGGCTAACAGGCACATCGACTGAAATGGCGATTTACTAAAAAATCATAAAAAATTAACTGTGTGACACTTACTTCTGGAGGTGAAGCTCGATCACGAACAGTTGGTATTGATCTATCCTTACGCAGGGCCACATTAACAATAGTGCTAGGCGGGGGGTGAAGCCCTGGGGCCCGAGCAAGGAGGGGGCCCGTGATTTGACTGTGGAGCACCGATCACCAAAGACCCACCACGCCCCCCACTAATTAGCACTGTTAATTAGTGGAGCTTTGCCATAAATTCCATGCATTACCATTAGGGATTGAAATGTCACTTTTGAATTTGGTTTACCAATCAAATGCATTTATTCTATATTTGACTTTTGAACGACCTTCGCATATCTATGAGGTGATCACTGTGCCTTATTGGGATGTCCGCATTCACCAATCAATCACCTCCACTGTTCACTTTGTTCTAGTCTAATCTGGAAATCGTCACGGTAAGAAATCTTCTTCGATAGGTAGCCTGAAAATGTCAACTATTTAAAAAAATGTGAGAGGAGCTCACAAAAGGAAAAACTTAAAAGACAAGCAGCAGAAAAAAACATGAGTTATTCAGTACATGAGTATTCAGTATCAGGTTATTTTACTAAAGCTGTTGATGGAGTGAAAGTTGTGGAACAGCAAGTGGACTGGACACATGGACCAGATAAAAACACAGCGTCATCGTCCCCACCGATTTTAGGTTAGTTTGATTTTTAACTTGACTGATGTATATTGCTTTTTGTGTTTGAACAAACTATATATTCGCTGAAGGGGTGGACGATAACCCGCTTGAAATATGTCAAACGTGTTGCGCCGTCATGATGTAAACTTATCATTTAAACACTTTTGTAAGCATTGTGGTTTAAAAACAAATGATTAAGCAGTGGGGGAGAATTCATTTTGGTAAGCCTGATACGCGCTGTGGCGCATCTGCTCGTACAGCGCCTGACTAAACTTGAGTTCTTTCTTTCTCGTGCCTTGTGCTTGAACGTTCAAATACATATAATTGTGTCAAAATGCCCGTCTTTGGGAATGTCCTCGTAAAAAGCCCTGCAGAAACTCATAGCCCCAGGGCCCAGTGAGGTCTTAATACGGCCCTCTCCTTAAATAACAACTTTTTAGCAAAGCCTGCCTTGTATTGCTCCTCGTTCATAAAGCAGTAGTGAAATGATTTGCGCAGACATAAACGAATTTTGGTACATTTTGAGGTGCATTACCTTCAAAAATAAAAGTAATCCACTGCGTCCTCAGTGGCTCAGATTTTGGGAGCAAACGAAGACTTTTATGTTCAGTCTTTCATCCAAACACATAACACCGGCATTGCTTAGGAGACATTGTTGCCGTTACAGCTGCTCAAGCGCGGAGAAAATGGATGACAGTGTACAACCAAACACAACTCGCTGAGGGCAGAAACTACAGTAATGCAGGACTGTCAGTCAGCGGCCGTGGGTGGGGCCTAAACAATGTGACATCACAATGCTAAGAGAATCAAAACCGAATGCCTAATGAGACTGGTTTGGTTTAATGGGGATTAAAAAATAAATAGTGGGTGGATTTTTATCATTCTAGGGTGGTTGTGTTCACACACTGCCAGCACACATTTATGTCCAAACACCATATAAAAGTGGATTTTGCATAATATGTGCCCTTTCTAATTTTTTAGTACATTTTCCACCACTGAGTATTTGACATGCATACCAATGTGGTAAATAATTTCATTAAGTGTTGAAATGACAATGTAGGCTAGTACAATTTTTCACAATGGTTACTTATTTTACTGATGTTATGATAAGTCTTCTGTCCACGCTAATAAAAAAGGCAGTGGATGGCTTAATTTATTTGGGAATAATTGTTTATTCAAATACTGAGTGATTAATGCAGTAAGCTATTATGTCAAATAATATTTCGGTGTCTGAGATTTGACTAGAAAATATAATGCAGATGTCAATCACATGAGACCATGGCTTTACTATTCCCTACATTAGTCCACTAATATAGTTCAAGTTTATGGAGTGAATGAAATCGAGTGAGCGACACTCGGACATTGAGTGCACCAGAAGGGCTGCTGCTTTTAGTAGCTGGTGCTTGCTGTTTAATAATCATTTGAAACTTAGCAAACAGTGCCAGTAGTAATGAAAACATTGATCTTGAACTCTGTCATGAAAACTAGCATGTATAAACCTTAATTAAACAATTTAATAATCAATTAAAAAGAAATTAATATTTGTATGAGATTACGCTGTACCCTCATTGGACTAGCAGTTTGGAAAATGGATGGATGGATGATTCAGCTGCAGGTGCCATCTTCTGGCAGGCCGTGGGAATTCATTCAGCAGGACCCTCACAGGTCATTATGGGTATTCTCTAGCACTTGAGTGTACATTGGTTATACATGTCTTATTGCGGTGCATTATGGGATTGAATGAGTACACTTGATAAAGTAAACTATGGTTTTCAGACACCACTACAAATGGCTGTCCCCTCAAATAGTGTCCTATTTGAGGGTATGGGGGCGATTTCTGACACAGTCAATCAGTGAGCAGGAAGCAGATGGACAAGTTCAAATTCTGTTGTTAAAGGCACGATGGGAAACAACTCGTTGATGTCACAGCCTAATGCTCTTTGGCTTAAACAAGCGTGATGTGTTGCTCTCTTTGTTTTACTTTGATATTAGCATTCTGTAAATACAAAATATATTCCCAAACACTCTTGTCAGAGCATTCGCTGTATAGAATAGGTGATTTCTAAATTATCTAAAATAAATGTGTGTATTAAATTAAAAATGGATGGAAAAAAAACACTTTTCTGTGGGGGGAAATTAATAAGTGATTTGGGTGTCTTGTTTTAAAACAAAATTTAAATTACATCCAGCTTATTAGCACCCAAGTAAATAAGTGTGAATATCCTTTGATCTCACAGGTGTCTGATCCACTTCAAGAAGTGAAAACGGTCAGTCTTGACTGCATTTATTTCACTCAGCCCCTGACTGCATCCACCTACTCTGGTCTATTTTCAAGGCGACGTGAGGTGCATCTCAAACAATGATGTTTCACCACATCACATCTTCTGCTATTTTGGCATGATGTAGATTTTAAACAGGGAAGACGAAAATAACACAAAAAATCCCAACCACTTTTATCCTAAAATTAAAATTAATGGGTGCTATCATTGCTTTATTAGATATTCAGCAGAACATCTCTGTTAACAACTTAGAAAATGCAGTTCAGTGTTTCAAGACTCTTAAATAATACACTACAAAACATAGGTTATCTATATGATGATTGGGTAATTGGCTCACCAGGTGTTACAGTCCTCCTGAACTTGTTTTCCAGGTGAATAGATGAGCCCATTGTGGACACAGGTGCAATTTTTCCTCTCCACACACCTACCTTCCCCATCAACTAGAAGGTCATTTTGACACATACACCCTGATACACACCCTGTACTCACCTACAGACAAAACAAACCAAGAAGGAGCAGCATTAGTGCAACATCATATTCTCTGCAAGATTTGCTATTTCAAGTTATCAGTGCACTATAAAAATGCAAAATAATTATATTATTCTTTTCATTTTCTTTCATTTTTCATGTGTTCTCATCCAACCATCCATTCTAACTCACGCAATTGTTGGGGTCTTGTTTCTCACATGTCCTCTGACACTCCGTCCCTTTGTGTCCGTGTTCATGTTTTGAGCAGTTGAAGAAGACCATTGGATTCACACAGTCTAAAACAACAGATACATGGATGAGGAGCAGAAAAATTGCACAAATCATACCAATGTTGCCGTATCTTAGTGACATCTCAATTTGAATTTGGCAGGTGGAACTGCTGAAGAGATATTTTCAGCTCACCTTCTTGGCTGGAGCAGTGTAATTTGCCAAGGTTACAGGTGCTGTAATATGTAAAAAATAATAATAATAATAAAAGCCATCAACAGTTACAATAATGTTTTATCAATAATAAATAATGTGTCAATAATGTATGCTGAACTACTATTTTTACCATTTAACACCATTATTGTAGATTATTCCTGATGGTTTTATGACCTGGTTGCCACTGTAACAAGAACACTGGTCAGCAGTCACACAGCTGCCGTCATTATTGAGGTAGGTGTCCTCAGGGCATACACAACCATCTACAGGTGTGAAGGACCCTTGGCAGGTGCTATCTTGTCCACTAAGAGAGCGGCATGTGCTGCCACAGCTGGTCACGCTGTAGGAGTACTTCATGTTGCCTGGACACTTAGTCACTGTGCAGACAGACAAACACACTTTTGACGTTTCTTTTTTAGAAAGTGATTCAAACACAAGGTAATGTAGATTTCAAACCATATATTACATTTCAAGCCATACATATAAACAAATAAATACTTATGAAGTTCTCACCACAGGTGATTGAATCCATCCAGCCCTGGAGAATGACTCCTCTGGCAGCACAGGAGTGGGCATAGTTGGACACAGCCGCACACATACACTTCCTAATATCTGCACATTTGCAGGTGTCATAGACACACCACTGCAGAGGATGAAACCCAGATTATAAGAAAGAGGGCTCTTTAAATTTGTATATCATATTTCATTTACCCTATCATTTCGTGCAAAAACACTCACTTGGTAGTAAATCTCAGGAGATATTTCTGAATGACATGCGGAAAAAACTCCTTTTGGGTTTGTAAGACAGGAACACCAGTTTTTAGCTACTTTCTCTGAATGAAAAAAATAAAAACACTAGAATTTAATTATGACAAAATAGCCACATTTTAACCTTGACAAAAAATGAATAGGTCATTGTCCTCTAGTATCCCAAATTAAACAAATCAAAACTATCAGGCTGGGAAATTTCTGTACACTACAACAGAGCCTTTATGTTAATAAAACTGAGTACCTATCTCCGAATGCAGGCTACAGGGGTTGTCAAATGTGTTTTCAAGATTTAGACAACTGTTTTGGTTTTTCCAAAAGTTGACAAAGGTTATTGGTGTGCCCTCGGTGATGCCCGACTCTATTTTGAAGTCATCTAATTGGACATCATTGTAGTTGCCACATAGACCTGAAAGAAACAAGATACATAATTAAAAGCACAATACCTGTAATTTATTCACTATGAACTTATACATTTTTTGAAAAGTCCTTTCTTAAAGCGGTCATATATATTTTTATATCCTTTTAATAATTGTATAAATCTTAGCAATGTTAACAATTGGTCATTTTATAATATTTTAGTATTAAAAGTTACTCTTTTTTTTTTTTTTTACTCGTTCCACCTTCCACAACAAAAAGGGCAGCGGCTAAGCAATAGATGCTCTTTACATTAAGTACAAATAACGATAGATTCTACACGTATTCTACATGTAAAAATAGCAGCATTTTCTTTGCAAAAAGTCTAAATAGTAGATGCTGTTCATACTTAGTGAAAAAATGGCAGATATTTGCACCTCATTATTGTAGTACATTATAAAACAGCATGCAGTAACAACATATTGAGTTTAAATTATCATATTTCTTAAACTTACTAAATGGATGCCGCCTTATATTGGGACAATAAAGCCCTCCCTACACCTACCCGATAAACACTTTATTATACCGGCAATGCACTTTATTTCCATTTTTTAAACATTTCATTTGTTTTTATTGAAAATGAATGTCTTTCCGATCTGATATGTGATGGGAAAAAAGAGAAGAATGAGTTCGGCAAGTCGAACTCAGGTTGATCGCATCAAAAGATTCCACGCCCTACACCACTGAGCCTTTTGTTCAACATGCGTCTTTTGTAATGTTGTCTACGCCAACCAGACATTGGTGAGTGGAGCTATAGTGTAAATAACCTCTGCCAGCATGGTGGGCTATTTGCACATAGTGTAAATAGACACTCCATAACAGAAAGTCATTCTAATCACATATTTTTGAAAACTCACCGCTCATCTTTCCTTTCTCGTCAGGGTTGGCAACAATATACAACTGCATAACTGGAGCCAACTGGATTTCTAGACGAAGACTCTTCATATCAGCAATGATGAAGGAGGAAGAGGGCTTAAAAATGCTCACAGGACCTGGGACAACAAAATGGGTGGTTAGGACACAAAACAGAACATCTAGTCATCAGTGCCTTTTTATTAATGCTAATATGCTCTATATGCTATATCTACATTTATAGAAGAAAGGAAAAGCCTTGCATCTTCCAAAAAATGCATTTAATTATGTTTAATTTCATTTAATGTTCAACATGCTTATAATAGAGCAATCCCCATTTTTGACAACCCACCTGTGGTGGCAGGAAGCTTATATGGACCATCTTCATTCAGTGTCACAACACCATTGGAGGAAAAACGAATCTGTTTTATAAGTAAAACAACAAAAAAGAAAACAAAAACAATTGTTGTAACGGCATCTTGAAGGATTTTGATACATTTTTTTGAGTATAAAAGTAAAATGGTAGTGGAGTATGCCGTAGGTACTGTGCACTTTGCTGAAAGTAAGTGTGCCATTCTGAGCATAGACACATTTGCTGGTGCTCTTAGAAAAAAATAGTTGGGTTATTTTAGAATTTGAATGATGAAAACATGGAGCAGTAGGAAAATTAAACAAAGTGCTTACAGTGGTCCCTGGGATGACAAGGGTAACTGAATTTAGACATGTGTCTGATCGGGTCTGATCACACTTTGCCAGGTTTCCCATGACAGCAATATCACTGTCATTAGAGCGCTGAGAAAAAAAAAGAAAAAAAAAAAGATTGTAAGAACCTCCAAATTATATAGTTTGTATATTCAGGTTCACGGAAACCTTTATAAAGTCCACACTTTTCTAATTGTGGGGCTCATCTGCTGTACTGACACAGACCTTAGTGAGGATGTAGTCACAGTTGCCGCTGAAGGTGAAGGTCTTTCCATCATAAGTGGTGATGTGAGACCCTCCAACAACAGAGCAGATTCCGGGACATTCCAGGTATGTACAAGTCCAGTGTCCAGCGGCACACACACTGACACAGTACAGCAGCAGTGTTAGCATGGGGACATGCATATATGTGGTATTAAAAGTGAATTTAAAATATTTAAATGTAAAAAAAAAAGTTACCATTTTTTGCAAGTTTGTTTGTAAGACTCTCCTGATTGATATACTGTGCCGTTGTGCACACAAAGGCATTTGTTCACAGGAATACAACCACTGTGACCAATGTCATCCTCAACCGTACCTTTACAAAAAGTAGGCAAAATGGTGTACCATTTTCATTATGAACATAATAAAATAAACAGTTCTGATATTAAGCTCTGCTCGCAGCTAATGCAATTCTTGAAGCATGATAAGCATATTTTTGCAAGGAGAAGCTTCATTTAAAAATAGACCCATCTAGGGGAATCTAGGTGCAGAGCTTTTGTAAATCTTTTCTCACCAAGAGGGCAGAAACAGCCGTCCACACAGTGTTCTTTACACAGTACACTTGCATCTGGACCTGAGCAGGTGTTCTTGCACGGATTCCCACACTCCAGGTATTGCATGTTCAGAGGACACGTCTTTGCTGCTCCGCAGAACAAATGAAATAGTATATCACAAAATATATCATCATTGCTGCTTTGCAAAACTGCAATTAACTGTTATGAAACATAGAATGTATCTATCTATTGTTTTTATATATTAAAAAAATGATTTATTAATGATACACACGACAGAGCTGTTCTGTCCTCCATGTTCCTGGTTCTCCTCCAGCATGTGTGCACAGTCGTGAAATCTCTGTGAGCGTGTTGCAGAGACAGTCATCATTGCCGTAACACTGACACAGATCGTCTTCGCAGGCTTTTTCAAATGAACTCATGTCCATCACCCTGTAACAGTCACTAAACCCCGGCCTGCTGAGATGCTGCTGGCAAATGTTTGTCTGGGAAGTTCAGAGGACACTAATTTTTTTAGCATTTTAAAGGCCTTTCAACTAGGCAGTTTTATTTTAGTATAATTGAGATACTATTGTAGTTTTTATTAATAGTCTGATAGCTATATATAGTTGTGTTTTGTCATGATTAATTTTTGTTTATTTTAAATGTCTATAATTTGTATCGATTTCAGTTTTTTATATTATTATTTTATTTTAGTTAGTATGTATTTTATTCCAAGTAAAAAAAAAACGGTTTTAGTTTTATGATTTCCGTTTTCGTTAACTATAATAACCCTGCAACTATAGGATAACATAAAAATGTTTACAAATATTGAAAAACTGATATATAATAGAATATAAAATCTAAAAGAAGCAATAAAATAACATCTCTTGTTCATCGTATACATTGAGTATATCAAAAAATATCCGTACCAATGTTCCAATTAGTAATTGATATAAAACAATTTAAAATATAACATTCAACATTTACACTGAAAAAAATTCACCTGTTTCAACTTAAATACATTAGTTCAGTTGCTGCATTAAAATTTTAATTTAAATCAACTTAAAAGTACAAGTAATTTCAACTCACTTTATTCTAGTGAGTTGAAATAACTTGTACTTTAAGTTGGTTTAACTTGTGAGTTGAAATGACTTAAAATTTTAAGGCAGCAACTGAATTTAAGTTTTTAAGTTGAAACAGGTGGGACAATTTTTATGACATTCAGGCACAGCTCCAAATTCTGTTAAAATAATAACAACTTTAATTTTGTTTCATAATACCTGGTTTTTGCACTGATCATTAGGATGAATTATTAAGACCTCACAGGATTCAGTTGGTAACACTTTCCATGTCGCCAAACCTATACAAGCCAAATGTTTGGATGTCATATATTAAAATATGAATTACTAGATAATTTTTGTTTTTATCAAAATGAGGTTTACCGTTGTCAAATGAATCATCAGTCTTGTTGCCGTTGAAGTTTCCACAAAGTCCACAGGTCTGGCTTTGGTACTTTTTCGGAAGTTCAATCTGGGGAATATCATATTATGAAATATATGATTAACAGATGACTGAGATCAGGCCCTATTTGTCCAACTGTGTCACAAATATAGGTAACACTTTATTTTGATGTTTCACTTTAGACATTCTGCAAACTAATACAGCTAGTATTAGTAGAATATCCACTGAATATCTGCTAACACTTTATTTTAATGGTCCCCAAACTGACATTCTTCTGCTTATAAGTAACTTTGCAACTTTCCATGTCAGCTTATTCTACTAACACTAATCATAACCCAACAGTCGACTAATACTGTACTAATACTCTAATGAGAGTTACTTGACACTTGGCATGTGATGGTATCAAAATTTCATGTTGTGATAATTGCTGAAGCTTTTTTCACGGTATACACACTGTAAATAGGTTGCTGTAAATTTTACAGTAACTTACTGGCAGCTGGATGCCAGTAATTTACTGTAAAAATGGTTACAGTATTATTACTGTAATTGCATTTACAGTACAATAATGTCTTTACTGTATTTTATTTACAGTTTTATTACCGTATTTTAATTTACAGTATCACGATACTGAAATAAGTTGCAAAAAAAGTTGTCATAATACAGTATAACAGGTTTAATAACTAACAAAAAGAACTGAACATTTAAATACAATAAAGCAATACACAAAAAATTTATAAAGTAAACCAATGTTTCAAACACATTAAAGTGCAAAAGAATTAAAAAGAACAATAGGTAACCTTTTACAATAATCTCATTAACCTTAGTAAATGCACTAACATTAACAATGAGCAATAGCTACATTTGTTACAGACGTTATTCTTTGTTAAAAAAAATACAACTGTTAGTTCATGCTAGCTCGGGTCCATTAAATAGCCTAATACTGTTACAACTTTTGATTTTAATAACATGTTATTAAATGCTGAAGTGAACTAAGATTAACAAATGCTTTAGAAGATTTTTTGGCAGTTTATGTTAACTAATAAATTAACTACTGTTAACTAATGGAGCCTTAATGTGTGACCAAATGATAACGAATCAAAACATTTTCAAACAATATCTAGTGCATGTTGTAGTCCAGATTAAAAACATTGAAAATAAATAGTCGATTACATCTAAGTATTTAAGTATTTGGCTCTGTGATGGGAACCATTGTGAATAAAAAATTCTGAATGGCTGTTTAAATCATTTAAATACTGCTGTTCAGAAACAGAAAGCACAGCTGCCTTGTTTACGGGGTTACAGGGATAACGGCTGCATTTCTGCTGTTCCAACAGCGCCATCTGCACCAGCTTAACATTATCATTTAAAACTTTTTAAATTTTGATTGATCTAATATCTGTATTTTAGTAAGTGCCGTATTAAACGAATTTCAGGGCTGTGTATATAGGCCATTACACAAAATCATCTGCAATGTTTTAATTGGAAAGATAGTTTACAGGGTTATAAAAATAAAAAAGAATAACCATTAGGGAACGCTCTGTTTAAGTTATTTTTAGGTTATTTTAAAAAGAACCACCCTGCAATGTTCTGGGAACCTTATTTTATGGTTGCAAAAAAATAAAACCTAAAAAGAACGTTCCTAGAATGTTATTTCTTGGTTCTCAGAAAAATAACCAAACGGGAATCAAAAACTAACGTTAGGGGAACGTTCTGTGTTTGCTGGGTAGTCATATAAATGAACAGAGATATGGCATACCAGTAATGATCGGCCCTTCTCCCAAAAGACATTCACTTCATGATTCTTTGAGATCTTAACACTTGATGCCCTCAAATCGACTGTAATTCCATTCTTAATGGTTGTATTATACAGCCTGTTAAAGCAAGTTTTAGAGAGAGAGAGAAAAAAAATCATATTTAATAAAAGAAAGAAAAATCTTTTTTAGATCTGTTTTTATAAATTATACTAATAGTTTTTAGAAAATATAAGACATTTGGATGCAGTGTCAAGTTTATATAAAAAAAAAACTCACACTTTGTTATCCATGATGATGTTGTTGGTGGTGAGTTCAATGACTGTGCCCTCCAGATTGACTGTGATTTTGCTGAAAATGACTGAGTTATTTATTATCTTTTTTTGCATTTCAATGCTAAAATACTTGCTGTTGCACAACTCAGCCAGAATGTAGTTGCACGTGTCTGGCACTTGAAAGAAATGACCATCGAAGGTCTTGAAGTGGAAATTTCCCCATGTGCTACAGATCGTGGACTGATGATCGGGATTTGGTACAACTGAACCAAGAGAGAAAGTTTAAAAATGTGTGCTCTATAAGTAGTAAACAGTAAATAGTAAATAGTAAACTGGCACTGAATAGGCACTGAATAAGCAGTTTCAGTGATTTAAAAAAATGAAGGACTGCATACCTGTAGTTACGATCACATTTGTCATGTCAGGGAACACTAAAAATAGAAAACAAAGAGGAACATCATTAAACAGTTTGAATCGTTTTAAATAATTAAAACTCTTTTTAATTATTTTAATTATTTAATTAATCATAAATCAATGCATGTAGTACTAGGGCTAAAATAATTAATTGACTAATTATGCTAGGTGCAATTAATAAACTAAAATTATAGTCTCTATCGGGTCAAACTCAGTTTGTTCAAATTAAAAGTTTTGATGTGCGTATATTATTGTACTTATAATAATAATAATAAGTTTTATTTATAGAGCACCTTTCCAGGGCTCAAGGACGCTTTACAATGTACATTCCACTAGAAAAGAATAACACTGAAAGGGGAGACAATGATTACAAACAATAGTTAGTAGAAACAGTAAAAGAGCATTATATAGACGGGACAACATATAGCAGAAAAGAATCTAGCACACCAAATACAAAACTTAAGGATGGTAACATTCAGAAAATAAGTGAGTTTTGAGTAATGATTTAAATTCAGAAATATTATTAACACAACAGAGTGAGCGGGGGAGAGAATTCCAGAGTTTCGGTGCAATAACACTGAATGATCTGCCCCGCATTGAAGAGAGGCGATACCGAGGGACAACGAGAAGGGAAGAGTCCGAAGATCGTAGTGAACGAGTCGGAGTGTAGGGGAGAAGCAGGTTACAACGGTACGAGGGAGCCAAGCCATGCAATGATTTGAAAGTGAGCAGGAGAATTTTGAATTTAATACGATATGCTACTGAAAGCCAGTGGAGATCATACAAAATTGGGGTGATATGAGCGGAACGCTTGGTGTGGGTAAGTATTCTAGCTGCAGAGTTTTGAATGTATTGTCATCTGGAAATGGAGCTGGCAGGTAAACTAATGAAGAGGCCATTACAGTAATCAAGGCGTGATGTAACAAATGCATGGATAACAGTTTCAGTGTCTTTAACACAGATGATGGGACGGAGCTGGACAACTCGACGCAGATCAAAGAATGCTGATTTGGTGATAGAGTTTATATAAGCCTGAAAGGAGAGAGAGGAATCGAAGATTACACCTACATTTTTAACAGTACTTGATGGTTTGATGTAAGAACCAGCAATCTCACAGGTGAAATTAGTAGGAATATTGCTAGTGAGTGACAGAGTTCCAATAAAAATGATCTCAGTTTTGTCCATGTTAAGTTTCAGAAAATTTAATTTAAGCCAATGTTTTATTTTGTTCACACAAGCAGAGATTTTGTCAATTTGGGCAGGGAGAGCAGGTGTACAGATAGTGTATAATTGGATGTCATCAGCGAAAAAGTGATAATTTAGACCATGACGTTGTAAGATCTGACCAAGTGGCATTATGTAAATTATGAATAATAATGGCCTGAGAACGGATCCCTGGGGGACACCTTGCTTCAGGGGGACAGTAGGTAATCGAAAATCCTTTACTGATATGTAAAATTGTCTGTCAGAGAGATAGGAAGGACACCAATAAAGGGCATCACCAGAAATACCCAAATCTGAGAGACGAGAAATAAGCAATTCATGGGAGACTGTGTCAAAGGCAGAGCTGAGATCAAGTAACAGAAGTATAGACAAAGAACCAGAGTCACCAGAAAGTAGTAGATCATTCACTACCTTTACCAGTGCAGTTTCAGTATTATGGAGTGTGCGAAAACCGGATTGAAAGGGATCAAAGAGATTATTTTCGATTAGAAAAGATTGAAGCTGAGAGGCAACAGTACTTTCCAGTAATTTAGCAATGAAGGGTGTACATAGATAGAGGGTGTACTTAGATAGAACTGAAGGATCAAGGTTGGGTTTCTTGAGAACAGGGGTGACTGTAGCGGTTTTGAGTGGCAGAGGAAATGAAGCAGAGGTAAGTGATGTATTAATGAAGTGAGATAGGTGCAGAAATAAAAGAATGGCAAAGTTTCAGAAGAGAAGTAGGAGCAGGGTCAAGTCGACAGGATGAAGAGCTGGATTTCAAGATGAACTCAGAGACGGAAGATGGAGTAGTCAGAGAGAAAAACAAGTTAGGGACTTGTAATGTTGTGCAATAATATATTAAAATGAAAAAAAACCAAAACTGATTATAGTCATCTAACCTGCTTGTGTCAACTGGAGCCCCAGCAGTAGGACGACCCATCTCAGCATCCACATCTGGGACATCCTCACAGTCCCCATGCAGACAACAACCATCCTCAAGAGCTAATGTGAACTGTCTGTCAAAACTTGCTCTTTTATAGTGAATTTTCATCTTTGGAAAAATGTAATTAGAAGGTGGAACCCATCTAATGCATTACCATGGGTTTCTATCTTTTAATCAGACAAATGTTTATTGTCCTATATAGCTGTGTTTGAGATTAAATATTTATGCAAACCTTGGTTGTGAAAAACATTTTTGCCACTCACAAAACTGGGTGTATCTGCGTTTCATCTCAAACTAAACAAGGGTGTGAATCCAGTGGGCACATAATTCTTTCCTAGAGAAACTTATCAATATCTACCCATCTACTAGCTGTTGCTAGTTCTGGGTTAGCAAAAAGTCTATTTGCATTTACATTTACATGACACAACATTGGCAGTTATTTTTACGGTTTTTCAATGAAAATAGTTCCAAAAGGAAATCAAAGCAGGAAAGAATCTACAGCACCTTCATAAATTGAAAACATGAAAAAAATAAAAAATAAATACAACAGATGAACATTTGTTATTAGTCATTTTAAATGTAGAATTTAAATGTAGGACTGTATTTTTTAGGGCTTATATGGAACTATAACATGCTCAAGACCTGTCTGGAAATACCTAAGCTGTGCAGTTCCTGAAAATAAACCTCACGCACTTGCCACTGCTCTATGTGAATATGTAGATTTACTATAGCAAAACTAAAATGTGTTTAAAAGTACGTCTGACCAAATCCACCGGTTCGGTTTGGCCCAAACGTCAAGCTACGCCTATGCTGGCCGGGTATGCGGAGCATTCGCAGCTTATATGGACGGAACGCCACTGGTGTACATAGGCTATTATAAATCAGTACATCAACAATAGTGCATGACTTAAAAAAATGTAAATAAATGAAAAAAAAAAAACTAAATGTACACATACGTTTGGTTGGTTCAGACATAAGAATTAATAATTTCCTGCATTTATATATCCTGGTTGGTCTGTCACTTACAACACACGATCAAATCCATTTACTAAACCTGATCATATATGTGATTTATTAGTGAGATTCCAGGCCTTATTTATCCAACTACTGTATGCCACAACATCACTCCATGGTTGTTAGACCACTTGATAGACTTCCACCAAAAGTCAATATTCAAAAATGTATGATTGAATACAATGTAAGATGTCTGGAACAACCAGCTGGTTTGCTGTTGCTTATTTATTCAATGCTTTTCTGTTTAAATATCTTATCATAATTAGAATCCATATCCTGTTTCGTGCCTAATATGTTCCTTGTTTCTTTTGGATTGCATGCAAAGAAACAGTACTTCATAATTGTCTGGTATTATCAACAATCCTAAATCACATGGCCATTACAAATATTACATTGTATTTACACAGAGATCGAATTAAACCATACATGTGCAGAGTGGTCTACCTCCCAAAAGACAAGCTGTTCATGTTTGTCGGAGATCTTGATACTTCATTGTAATTTCAGACTTGTAGGATGCATGAATTAAACATCCTGTCAGACCTGGTATATTACAAATAAACACATTTTGCATGATTAATCAATTTCTATTTGAAATATGGTGGTACTTAATCTACTGCTAAGGATTCTGGGATTGACATTCTCACATAGCAAAAGTTTTAATAATAGGAAACAAAGTCAAGATGCCAACAAATAATATTCCATATCAGTAAATAAAGACTAATGTGATTTACTAAAAAAGCAAAAACTGTGTTATTACTGTAATGAAAAAGTATTTGTGATTTGTACTTATCGTACTATAATATTGGACAAACTGTCACATGGCTAACCCTAAATCAATTATTAGCCATAAATCAAAAATGACAGTTAGTTGTGCTGCAGGCACACTCCTCAACATGGATGTACGTGTAGGTCACTATGTCTCCGTTTACGCAACCAAGATTCACTGTGCGATTACTTGAGCGAGTGGCCTGCCAACAGCTACAAGAGGTCAATCCAGGTTCAGTGTACCTATGTATGTGAGAAAGAGAGAAAAACACATGTATAGCATTTCAAATCGGTCACTTATGAGTGTCTGTTTCAGTTAGGATGTGGCCTGTGTAGGTCTGTGTGTACTCACCTGCTAAAGCTGGTACAGTCTCCACCACAAAATGTCAGGTCCATTTTCTTCTATGACTGACAGACAGTCATTGTGATTTAAGTAAACGCAAACGGTCTGTACTTGACATCCTTTAATTTGATCCACACCAACAAAACACAGGCAGGTAACATGGAGAAAGTTGTGTTCATACAGGATGTAACACATATTAGGGTAAGAAGATGAGATAATTTAGTATTTTTTATTGATTATTTGTAATAATTATTCCTTTAAGTTCCATTTTTGTCCATTTCAGTTGACCAAACATTTACCCTTACCTTAAGTATATGCAGTGTTGGGCAAGCTACTCTGAAACTGTAGCTTGACCAGCTACACGCTACTCATAAATTAAAGTAGTTATACATTCAAGCTACCCTTCTGAAAAAGTAGCTAGCTACACTACAAGTTACTGTCAAAAAGTAGCTAGCTACATTGAAACTACTTTCAATTTTTTTATTATTATTATTTTTTTTTACAATTAACATTACAAATAACGAAATAATTATTAATGAAGAATTATAATGAAGTTATAAGTAAAATATAATGAAGTTACAAGTAAAATATTTGGGGTTTAAAACAACATACTGTAATGCAATCATGATTTCAAAGAGTAGGGTGAATTCAGGTTGATTGGGACACTTTTCCAAGCCATTTCAATGACAAAAAGTTTCCCAATCATTTGATTTTGTAAACTATTCGATACACACAATAATAAAATACAGTATATTGCCATATATTGTCATAAAATAAGCAGGTTAAACTCACAGCACATTCGGTATTTACTGGCTGGGAATGGAGACGTCAATCGTCAGCTGTGTGAATCCCGCCACAACCATCCTTTGACAAATGATAAGCGCACTACTATATCACGATTTTATTTTCTGTTCGATTAAATGTTCATTACAAAACTGTGGGGGAACAGATTATATTATGACCGTACATCATTGTAAAATAGACATTTGATCTAGAGTGCAATAAAGAAGAAAAATTAATCAGTTTAAAAAGGCTATTATTCACCTCCTGTGTGTGCTTTAAGTCTTCGACGTAGACCGCATTTTAATCTTTGTTTTGCATAAATTACAGTTGATTCATGTGAAACATCCACTCCTGTGTACATCTTTTGCAATATCATCAGACGATCTCTTGTCGGTAAGACTGTAAAGCTGCGCTATGCGTGAGATCAAAACAACAGATGGCGGTAATTAACAACTTTAGTTTGTGATCTAGTCAGAAGAAGACACTGCGCTGCTTCAATGCATTACAGACTCGTGACTCGTCAGAACGCAAATGCGTTTGGTCGCGCTACACCGTTTGCTGGAAAAAGTAGTTAGCTACAGGAAAAGCTACACTGTTTTAAAAGTAGCGTCGCTAATGTAAAGCTACTGAAAAATGTAGTTAAGCTAGGTTACTGAAGCCCTGCGGATTGCATAAACTGATTACAAATAATCAGTTGTCATTCTGCTGGACCTATCTGCCACTTTTGACACTGTGAATCATCAGATTCTTCTGTCCACCCTCTCATCACTGGGCATCACAGGAACTTCATTTCACTTGTTGGAATCCTATCTCACAGGAAGGTCTTTCACAGTTGCTTGGGGAGGGGAGGTATCCAAAACACATCAACTGGTCACTGGGGTTCCTCAGGGATCAGTTCTTGGAGCCTTCCTCTTCTCCATATACACTACAACACTGGGATCCAACATAAAAGCACATGGTTTTTCCTACCATTGCTATGCTGATGAGACACAGCTCTATTTTTCTTTTCAACCAGATGATCCAAAGGATCTCAGGCTGCCTAGCGGACATCTCAGCATGGATGAAAGAATATCACCAGTTCAACCTTGCAAAGACTGAACGTCTCGTCTTCCCTTCGACACGACTCTATAGTACAATTTCACCATCCAGCTGGGTTCATCAACAATTACCCCATCAAGTTCAGTCAGAAATCTTAGAGTAATCTTTGATGACCAGCTGACATTCAAGGACCACACTGCAAAGAGTGTTCGATCATGTATTTTTGCACTGCACAACATTAGAAAGATCAGGCCCTTCCTAACGGAGCATGCTGCACAACTTCTTATCCAGACTGTAAACTCCAGCTGAAAACTTATCTCTTCCAGTTATGAAATTATGCACTATTTATCATCTATAAACCATGATGTAACCACTAGATGGCTGTATATGCCTATATAAAAATATATAAACATGGTAGTGTATTCCCTAGTTCCTACACTTTGTTTTCAGACATAATAATTTACTTGTATTAGGCTTTGCATTTGGATATATGTTTTGGATATGCTTATTTTCAAAGTTGAGATCTTTTTTTTCTGTTAATTCAAAGTGTCAAGTTTTTGCATTATTATTATGGTCAAATGTGGGCACAGAGAAAGCATTTTGATACTCGTACTAGCTACATATTATAGCTTGATCAGTCACATGAAGTAATCAGAATGTTGTGTCAGTAGACTGGGGCAATATTTCAAAATATATCCTCCAAAGAGAAAGGAAAAATTGAAATCGCATCATATGACCCCTTTAATGGTTTACATACCATGAACAGATATCTGGTCTGTGGTCTCTCTTCTCTCCTGTTTGAAAAAATCTGCATCGCAAATCGATCAGCCATTGACAAATTAAGATTTAAATCACTTTATTGGCATGGCAAAAGGATTAATCGACGATAAGGCTATGTGTCCACCAAAGCTTTTAGCCAGCTGTAAACTGCAGGCACTCTGCTTAAATCGCCTAGCTTTGAGCTTCTGTGTTTTTTTAACTTTTTGAACTTTGTTTTCAGACACTTTGGCTGCTATGATGTGAAATATCCGCATAAGTGTTACTAGTATCTGATTTTGCAGATAGTTTATTTCTGTATATAAAAATGTAGACAAAATATAAATTACTTGCTCTAGCCTTGTTTTAAAGGCAGGGTAGGAGGTTTGTTTAAAAATACATTTTTTGT